AAAAAAAAAAATAAACATAGAGAAAAAAAAAAGGGGGAAAGAGAAAAAGAATAGAAAATAAACAAAATAAAGGCAGATCTCCACTTAAATACATAAATATACATAAAGGGTGTAACATTCAGGAATGTTTAAAATAATAGAAAAAACAATAAAAATATATGCAGGAGGAAAAGAAAGGAAAAACAAAACAAAAATAATAAATAAATAAAAAAAACAAATTTTTGATAGTGGCTGCATATCATCACAGAACATAAAAAAAAAAAAAAAAAAACAGCAGCCAAGACAGAAATAATAATAATAATAACAACAATTTACAACAATAGTAGCAAAACATGCAAAGATAACATGGGGCACAAAAAGAAGCACAAAAAAAAAAAAAAGAAAGAAAATAGAAAATAGACGAATGAAAAACAAACAAATAATAAATAAAAAAAAAAAACATATACATATACATTCAGTAGAAATTATTAAACACCAAAAACCACTTCTTATGAAGACAATGATACAATATACAAAAGAGAATAACCCAAAAATAAAAATAATAACAACAAGAGAGAGAGAGAGAGAGTTATCTGGAAGTAAAAAGTACGCCCAGGTCATCACTACAGAGATGCCAACCCTTCTTCTCTGCATTATTCTGTAAACACTTTCTAAAACCCCCAAACATACTTTCCATCACTCTCCCACACTCACACGGTTCCCGTTTCGGTAAATCCATACAAGTAAAGCTTCTCTTTCGCTCTTTTACTTTAAACCACACCATTCGAAGAATTGTAAACTCAGAGTGCCGCAGTGTTGGATGGACTTTTCCACAGAGTGGTGGAGAGGCAAAGGTCCCACAGTGAATACTACTACTTCCATGCAATAAGTTACTATCCACTAAAATAGCCGCCCCATCACGACCCCCACCAATACCAAAGAAATCATTCGCACAGAATATAAACTCTCTATTATCTTCTTCCATCACCCAACCGTAAAAAGATAAGATACGAGGTAATAGTGTAGATACACGGCCAGCCGGCGTCTGTGGAGGTGAATAGAAGGGTGATCCATACCCATTGGAACTACGAATATTATTATTATTATTATTATTATTATTCTTTCCTATTACACCCATAGACATATTAGTAGTAGAGAGTTGTGAGCCACGTCTCCCCAAACCACTCAAGCTAGTACTAATGTTATTATTACTATTATTATTACTAATATTATTATTATTAGGTAATAGTCCATTTGCGTAGCTAAAAACAAATGTTTCTTCCGTTCCAAAGAATCCGTGTTGTGAGTGTTCCAAGCATGGCACCTGCGGTGTAAAACAGCCAATCACAGTAGCGTTTTCACCCGGCGATGTTGTTGTTGTTGTTGTTGTTGATGATAATGGTTGTGAGTCCAATACTCCACTCGTCACTACAAACACACCAATACCACTATATCCATCTGCATTCACTTTTTGCATAACGCGATAGAAGTTCTGCAGTGAAAAGCCATCGTGTTCAGTATCGTAACAGAGATGCCATGGGGATTCCTGTAGACGATTAGGGAGGGCGAGGAGTAATTCATGTAATTCACATCGTGAGAGTGGAAGTGGAGGCGATGGTGGTCCATCAGGGAATAACGCCTCTGTATTTAATGAACAACTACACATTGTACAAGTGGTGGTTAACTGTTTGTTTACACGTACTGCCCGGCCAGGCGGTGTAATGCGGCACGTAAGGGGAGGACACTGAGCACTCATCCCCTTTTTAATAAATAAATATAAATAAATAAATATATAAATATATATATATATATATTTTTTTAAAGTATATCAATATATATATATATATATATATATATATTTAAAGTATATCAATATATGAATGAATGAATGAATGAATGTATGCTTATTCTGTATCTCTGTATCTATATCCGGATAGATCTTATCTACGCTGTATATAGAAATGTATAATTGAATTTCTTATTCAAGCTTAGAAAAAGATTAATAATAATAATAACGTAAACGACTACTACTCAGAGCTGTATATGGGGAAATGTATAAAAAGTCTATGTACGTCTAACCTTTTTATGTTTAAACGTACCTAGTCCTACTCTAAATGTACCAATACTGTAGAAAAATTCACAAGAGTCGATATTAATAC